CCACGACCCCGTGGGATAGCCCTCCCTCGTGGGACAGCCCTGCATCGTTGTCCCCTACCTCGAGGGACAACCCTACCTCTATGGTAATGCTCTGGCGCCACATATGCAGGGTCTTGTACTAAGCGCTCATCCTCTCAAGCTCGCTGCAGTGTCCGGGCAGCCAGCTCTGTAACCTGTCGGCCATAATCGTGCAAAATGGCCGGTCCCTCACCGGCATGCTGCTGCATCTGCAGTCCCAACTGGTAGAATAGATGTAGGCCAATAGCCTGCACAATGTGTAAAATATAAATTACAGAACGCTAGGTTACAATTATATAAGTAAGAATATCAAATAACATACCAGTGCCTCGTGCCGCCCGGCGTATGGGACGTACCGACCGCAAGATTGATAAATGGGATTCCCGATGAAAAGTCGGGTAACGCCGCGGTACCAGGGCATATAATCACGAAAAGTATCGTCCGGCTCGGAGAGAGGGGGGGGGGGGGGTAGGGGCGGGAATCGAGGTCGAGCTCGCCGGTCCCAAGTATCGACCTGCACCTCTAGCCATGCCACATATGCGTCGTCCACCCTGGAACGATCATCCTGCTCGTAATGTGTGGGCTGCCATGTGGGCGGTCTCGGTACAACCTGTGGACGGTCAAACTGGCAAAGTACCCGCTCCGTGGCATGATGCTCCACAATATCGAGGCACATCATAGGGACGGAAGAGCTCCAAATAAGTCGGCCAGCCGAGCAATAATCGGGCAGGCCACCTATCAACTCGTCGCTATATGACGTCCAGATAAACTATTAAGTAACAACAGAAAACGTGAGTATACGCAACACATGTGAAGCTATGCCAAGTAAACTTAGGTATACATTTACCTGTGCGCCCTCCAGCATATCCAACAAACCCCTACAAAGAGGGAGATTATGCCGAGCCTCGTAGATATGTACGTATCCCTGCCGGAGAACCCACCTCCTAGCTAGAGGGAGAAACGGAGGTGGTACATCCGAAGGTAATAGTGGTAGAGGTAGCTGCAACTACACGAACCGCTCCCAGGCCCAAACCTAACATACAAAGTTGACGTAAAATTTAAGATATATTTTTACTAGATATGTTATAAGGAATAGAGTATTCGAATATGTTGTCATCTGTAGCAGCGGCACAAATCCACATACGTCATGTTGGGTGCCCATGCTCTCCCGGCACATCTGTCTGTACAAGTAGGCGAGGACAGCAGCACCCCAGCTGTACTGGGGTAAATCATCTAGCCGCTCAAGATGATGAAGAAATCTCAAGCTGACAAGGTTCCCCGAAGTGTTCGGGAACAAGACCCCTCCAAATATAAGGAGTGGCAGCAAACTCGTATACCAGTGAATATGCAGATCATCTGTCTCACCATTGATGTCGGGGTGCAATATCTCCAAATGCTGTCGAATAGTCGTCAAACTCAGGCGACTGGCCCCTGCCTGTGCTGTCTCATCCTGTGGTCAGAAACTAGTGAGCTGCTGCAGCATGTCCAGGTACTTTCCAGGTGTCATCTCTCTCATGCCCTGCGGCAGAGCGACGGGGTGTCTATCAACGGGCAGCCCATATAAAACCTCCACGTCCTGCAGTGTGATGGTGGCCTCGCCAATGGGCAGGTGGAATGTGTGTGTCTCCAGTCTCCACCGCTCTATTAGGGCCGTGACCAAAGACCAATCGAGCTGCAGCGCACGATCTCCAAAATCCTGTAGAAGCCCGTATCCCACATGCGTCTGACTACACGGGGATGGAGAACTTTGCCCTTCATAAAATCTCACATGTCGTCCACTCTCCTAGCGTGGAGAGACTGGGCCAGTAACTCTCCCTCCCATATGTGTGCGAACCTATGATCGCCCTGTAATAATAGTAGCTCATCGCAGAAAGGTCCGGGATGCATAGGCGACACGTCCATATCGTCTACTGTAAATTAAACAACATTAATTACATGTTTTTTTGAAAATTAAATAATTAATTTTTAAAATTATACAATATTTAATGATTAAGTATTCACATATGGGTTTCAGGCTACGATATTTGAG